TTTTAACATCTATATCAAATGAACTATTAATGTCATGATCACTCTGAAAGAATCTTTAGAATATACTGGGGAAAACGTAGCTTCACAGTCTACTCATTCTCTCTTAGTGAAATCCCTAGCTATTAGTTTGGCTTTAACCTTTCTTATGGAGTCCCTTATAGTCTTATATACCCATTTACAACTTATGGGCTTATGACCTTCAGGCAATTCCACAAGCTCCTAAGCACCATTATGTTTCATAGACTACATCTCATCTTTCATCACATCTAACTACAAATGTGACTGAGGACAAGAAACAACAACTGCATAAGCTATTGGATCAATTACATTGTCAATATCATAGTCATACTCTCCTAGATAGACTATATAGCCTGATGGAATAACTTAAAAGGAGTTAATGGAACAGCTTTGGTAAGAATATGATTTAGAATGTAAAGGGTAGTTTTCAAAGCTTTACCCCACAAGAAATCAGGTAAATTGATTCTACTAATTATACTCCTCGTCATTTTCATAAGTGTGCGATTGCGCCTTTCGGCCACATCATTTTATTCGGGACTCACAGGCATAGTATGCTAAGCTACTATTACAGGATCCTCCAAGTATTTGGCAAATGGCCCTTTAAGTTGTCCAGCATTGTCATGCCTACCATAATATTCATCACCACGGTCTGATCTGACAACATTTATGACTTTTCTTAACTGTTTCTCGACTTCAGTCCGAAAGATCGTAAACTTGTCAAGTGACTTAGATTTTTCCTTAATCAAGTATAGATAACCATATCAGAAATAATCATCAATAAACGTGATAAAATAAAAATTTCTACAAGGTTGCCGTATATGGTCCACTAATATTTGTGTGAATAACCTCCAACAGGTTAGAACTACGAACTGCGGTTTTTTTCTTATCTTAGTCATCCTACCTCTACAATAGTCTACGCAAGTGTCTAAGTCAATTTTAAGAGCAGGCAGGATATCATCCTTTATCAGCCTGTCCTTAGTAAAAAAATCGGAAACCGCCCGGAATCGGACCAAAACCTGTGGTTCGTAAGGGAACCGGTCTGGTTCCTGGTTCCAATTTTTGGAAACCGGTGGGTACCAGTCCGGTTCCCGGTTCTAGGTGTGGAACCGCCCGCTCGCCCGCTCACCCAGACCGGACCAATAAGATAATAATAAATATAATATATTTATTTAATTTTTATTTTTTTAAAAAAAAATCCTAAATCCCTAAACTAAACCTAACTCGCTCGAAGCTCACAGCCTCACATTGAACTGAGAAACACTTTCTTTCGCTTTCACCTCACGCTCACTCTCACTCTTCTCGGTCGATGCTCACCTCACCGTCTCCGACTCGCCATCTCCGTCTTTGTCTCCATCTTTCCGTCTCCATCATTGGCTAGTGGGACTAGTTCCATGGACTCACCCGAGAACCGGACTGGACCGGCAGTCCGATTCCCGGGTGGATCTATGGAACCAACGGGCGGTTCTCAGTTCCAATTTTTCAAAATTAGTCCTTAGTGAGGGGTTCCCGGTTCTAGGGTGGGAACCGCCCACCCGGACCATGCTCACCCATACTGTCCACTCTTTTTCTAGAGATGTGACCAAGCCGTTTATGTTACAAAGCATAAGATTATTCCTTAAGTAGAGATCTTTTAGAAACAACATTTTCAGTTTTATAAGCGACGTATATATTATTGGAAGTTAAACATAATCTGTACAATCCATTAGACATATTGCGGTACCCAACCTTATTTAAATTAAAGAACATAGACAAAATATTGTTCCTTATATTCAAAGAGTAGCCATATATGTTCATACATGATACGGAAACTAAATTCTATATAAAGGAAGGAACATAAAATGTGTTTCTTAACATCAAATTAAAACCATAATCTAGAATTAAAATGACATCTCCCACAAACTTGACGTCAATTTTATTGTTGTTTCCCACAATGAGCTTAGATTCATTTTGATTTGGCTTTCTCCGATTTATGAATCCCTATATGATAAATATAACATGATTTTTGCACCACTATATAGCCACCATGAATTGGATGAGGCTTTTGATAGGTTGGATTCACGAACAAATGTCAAAGAATAATTACCTGCAGGCTCACGTTTGGACAATCAAGTTTTATTTGTCGCAGTCTTTCTTTATGTGACATTTCTTCTTACAAAGGAAGCGGTGTTCACCATCATTCTTGAATGATGCTTTCTTAGGACCTAAATAGTCAAAATGACCAGTGGTTTGATGAGTTCCTTTATGAGTATAAATTTTGGACATCTTACTTTTTTTAATACTAACCCCACCAAAACCATCATACCTCATATTGAAGAGTCTTTGTAGATATGTCCCAATCTCAGCATTAGACGAGACACGGTTCCTAGCCTCCAAGGCTTTCATCATCTGTTTAGTAGTGCAATCAACTAGCAAACCACTCTTCAAATGTTTTTGAATGGATTGCTTCGTAAATAACAAGCAAATTTGATTGCTATTTTCCCAAGTAGCAAAGTGTGCTTTCTTAAGTTCCATACTTTTGACAGTGAGATCTGCCAGCTTATCCTTAGTAAGAGCAATATGAACATCTGCTAGCTCCATCCCAAATAAAAAATCATCTTTCCAATTCTTTAAGTTCAAACTAGTAAATACCTCAATCATAATGGAGTTGCCATTTACAAAGAAGGTGACTGATAAATAAGCAATGCATACAATTAGTATTATGCGAGTAGTAGTAACTTGAAACCGTATAAGGACACATCCTAAGAGTTTCATACAACATTATATATTGTATACTCTCCACATGACATCGGCCATGATAATATATTCCAACATTCGTGAATTCACCATCATTGGGTGTATAAACCACTAGGATCAATTACTCCTCAACCATATGCTGCACATGTATCCCTCTATGAACCAATACACAATCACTTCCTTTGGGAGTATGACCATGCATTAGAACATGAAATATCTCATCACAATATGAAATCGATATTTCTTAAACTCAATCAAGTGTGCCACTTTGGTGGTCACGACTCAATTGAATATTTGAAACTCTCTCATACCAGGGATATAAACTTTATATTTCACATTTACCATATACATGTAATTTTAGACTTCAAGGCAAGGACAAATTGTCAATAAAATCACATGCCATACCAATTACGTTGCCCCATTCATTGATACATGTTAAACCTTATAAATGCAATCAATGAATCAAGCTCTACAAATTATGTATGTGATGATATATGTGAGCTAGCAACTGTATTTCCGAAGCCTTAGAGAAATATAGGAAAATACTCAAAAAATACCCTAAAAAAACACATATATAGGGTTTTGTACATATGTTCACATCCTTAAAAGTATCAAACATGTAGTATAAAGTAACCACATTGTATATCATGTCGATATGAGCACACTGGTACCAAGAACGCTCCAAACGAAGCTTGGATAAGTCCTTTCGTGCCTTCAGAGTGCGTGGCGCATGTATTACGTGCGCAACACGCTTGAACCGGCCTAAATCGCTAGTCAACCGGATCAACGGTCCACTGAGTCGGATTGGAACTCGGGTCAAGTCACCTGGGAGGTTAACCGGGTCGACCTGCATCTCGAGTCGCTGACGTTAGCCCTAGCGCAATGCATGCATGGCCGCGCGTGTTCGACGCACACTGTCGCGCAGCGGCATGTGGGGGTGCGTGCGGCATCCCCTGGTGGCATGCAACTTACCAAAATGCTCGCCTTGACGAGCTCTATTCGTCTATGTGATCAAAATCAATTTTTATGAGTCAAAAAATTCCAAAAATAGGAAAAATCTATACGTTCTAACCTTAGATTATGGCAGCTCTCATACCACATGTAAGACACAAAAACAGCACCCCAAGATCACCATAGCTAGAATTCTAAAACACAGTAATGGAGAAAAAGTGATTTGCACAACTGATTTGAAATCCATTGTTCTTGATGCGGAATATCGACGATTCTCAATCTCAAGCGCTCTCCTCAATTTCCCTCTGTGTCACTAGCTTAATGAGACTGCATTTCACCAATGCATTCTATAACTACTCCTTATGTGAGGTTATATGTGCATCAGGGTTAGAGGAGAGAATTGAGTACTATTTATATAGTTTAATGTCACATACCCTCTGATCACATGCCGAGCTTCACTTAGCCCACACTAGTTAGGGTCATATTAGACTAATAAAAAACCTTTATATCTTACTTTATTAGACCAACTCTGTAAAATGGTCAATTAATATAGCCCACATCAAAAAAATTCTTACACCCATCACATGTCTAAAATGTCCGTGAACGATAACGCAGTGTTTATGCTCTCTAGTGACCGATCTAATAGTCTTTGACAAGATTCTCTTTGTCCGTAAATGTCCCCCTTGATTGATTTATACTTATTTCGCACTCTCTTTTCGTTTTGTCATTATTGAAATCTGAAAACAGGCCACTGGCCATTGAATCGGAAACTTCGATAAAAATGAGCGTAGCTTGAAAAGAAAGACTTCGCACGATAGCTTTCTTGTCGACTCTCTCGGTTGGGCCTAAACCATGTAGTCACGTTGTTGACTTTTTGGCGATGTCACTGTGTTTGGTCATTGCCTTCTCTTATATCTCCGCCGTGATCATATGGTAATTGAAGCTTAAGTAAGACAATTATGTCACTTTTCTTGAATGGCATCATTGATCGGGACCTAACGTTGGCGAAAATTTAACCATTGTGCATGTGCTCTCGTGGGCCATAATTAAGAGCCGAGGTCCTAGCTCTGATAAGTTTTTTTTTTTTAGTAAGGAAAAAAAAAAACTATATCCTAGCTCTGATAAGTTTCAAAAATAGCTTTAATTGCAATAAATAGTTCCAAACATGCTGCAATATTAGCAGCAATAGAAGAACCAGCCAGCCAGAGCCTTGTAATCAACTGTACAGAAACTACATGCATGCGAAATATAGCGAACTTTGCTGTAACGAGGCCTTGGGTATATATAACTAGGAACAACTATAGCTTTAGCCTGGTAATGCAATTAGAGTCCACAGCCTTAGACTGAATGTGAAATAAGATGTAGCAGGTGCTATAAGCAGTGGCATGGAGCTTAAAGATCTTAGCCACACCGACTTTCCCAGGCAAAGTCACCGTAGAAGTGAAGTTCAAGCAGCCCGAGGCAACGTCTTCCCCGAAACTCGGGTTCGATATCAATTTATCAATGATCAGATTCGTCGAAGTGGTCATGTTGACTTTTTCCCGAGCAGGAATCTTGTTATGCACGATGGGGACCTCAGCCACCGTCGACCCGCGGTAGTTAACGTAACTGGTCGTGCTTTTGTACTCGAAGCTGCCGTAGTTAGGGTTGTCGATCGTCACGAGCATGCTTAACGTGTGGTTGAACAGGATGTTCTCTAGGCCGATGGGCTGGACCGTAATCTGAGGTTGTTTGGGCTTGAAGATCGTGAGGGATAAGGTCACGATGATGATAGTGAGAATGGCCAAGAATACCACAGAGGTGAAGCAGCATATTTTGAGACCTCGGCGAGCCATTTCAGTTGGTTACTAATCAATGAACAATGCAGGAGAGATGCGGATTAATGCAGACATCAATTGATGTTCATATAAGAAAGTGAAGTAAACTGAAAGAAGAATTATGTCGTTACTATGGGGTATGAATGTTGAATGCTACTGTGATTCGAGGATAAAGCTATGAAGATCAGCGTACAAAATCAAATGGATGACGATGATGTATACGCAGGATGCTCTAAGTGGATTCTAATGGGGAGATGAAGAACGTAATGGACAAAAGTAAAGCTTAGCTTGATCTTAGAACGTGCTTAGTAGTTCAACACGTTACGGAGGTTTGTATTTGACATGGGTTTTGTTTTTATGCCAGAAGGACACTCGAATAGGACAGCGGGTGCTTCTTCTTACTCTTTGGTTTTTGTTGTCTCTTACCTTCTAATCTCAGTTTAATTAGTCAATCTCTTGAGATTGTAAGGATAAACATTCCCAAAAATGAAGAAATTAACATGAGGCAATGTAATTACAGTATCATGTGCGAAAGTGTTCTTTCGAGGCCCAAGTATGCAATAGGAGATGTTTTGAGTGCGCGAATGAAATGGGCCAAACTTTTGACAGAGCAGATCCGTCAGCATACTTCAGCAATGTCCCGCTTACCAAAGAGCAATTCATAATGCTAGGCTTTTATTAGGACGGGTCCACAAAATCTATCAGCTAAACGATAGGATAGAATGCAATCCGAGATTTAAATATAAGCCATGTTCCACACTAAAAAAGAATATGCCATGTCAATCATATAGCAAGAGAGTGAGTAACTTCATCGCCTATAACAGCGTCCTTATGTCCTAACAATGGCATCCCAGTGGATACCTGCAATATATGGTGAATAATAAGGATTATTTGCGGTCGGAGGAATCACCCTCCCCTCCTAGATGAATGTAGGAACAAAATTAACCAAACTAAGTATCAATAGCAATGGTTACACAATGCGAATGAGAGTGATAATAAGGATTTAAAGGGAATGCACACCGAAATTTAAGTGAAAAGCCCTTCTAATGAAAAGGGGTGTTGTGAAATGAACTCGAAGGCTAACGGATCTTGCAATTCGAGTCTAATTCGAGAAGAAGAAGAAAGTACTAGAGAAACCAACGAGGAACAATAAAGAACACCGGAGATTTACATAATTTGATTCGAGTGCCGGTACTTCCTTCACGGGGGGGAAGCTAGTCGCCAAAAAGTCCACTATGAATCTTGATAATATAGAGTTTACAATCGCTCAATCATTTAAGTGTTTACCAGCCCTAAATTACATCCATAGCAAAACCTAATGCTATCTCACAATTCAGCCCTAACACTACTCTTGTTAAATTGTATCAAAAAATAGGAAACCATTTTTAGGAAACCTATTCAGATTAAGGAATTTATTTGGATTGTGACTTTCTTTTACGAGTTCAAACTCAAGATATATTCTCATGAAAGAAATCATGAGCAATCCAAAGTGTAAGGACGTCCAACCATACCAAGAACGGTGCACCAATTTGCCACACAATTAAATAGCATGTATACAATCTTAATGTATAAATTCTTAATATTATATCTTAATTAATTAAAGACCAACATTTAAATTTATTCATATAATATGTGATTGTATTGTAGATATCAATTCTCACATTTATAGTCTGATTGCAATAATAATATAACAATTTAAGCATTAACTAATATAATTAGTAATTAAGATGACAATTATACTACAAACGATTTTGAATATGATATTTATCTATCATCAAGTAAGATAATAGTTCTTACATCAATAATTTACTTAATAATTATTTTATTTATTAATCATATGAGACGCCATCATGTCAAAATAATAATAATAAGTGTTACTATCACTGGCAGAGCTTCGCTATGTCGTATTTTAGAAAAAAAAGTGATATTCTCTTCCTCAATAAATTTTACAAAAAATCCTCGGTTGCTCAGTACAATGCAAGTAATGCAGCCACCAACGATTTAGGGCAAAAAGATAGAAAATGGCATGATTGTCATTGGTCATCCGGTCTTTAAGCTCACGCAAATATAGTCTCCTAAGACCTCGCCACATGATGTTTATGCTCTCTCGTGACCGATCAAATGGTCTTTGACAAGATTTTCTCTTTGTCCGCAATTGTCCCCTCAATTGATTTATACTTATTTCGCACTCTCTTTTCCCTCTGTCATTAGTGAAATTTGAAACAGGCCACTGGCCTTTGAATTGGAAACTTCGATCAACATGGGCGTAGCTTGAAAAGAAAGGCTTCGCATGATTGCTTTCTTGCGACTCTCTCAGTTGGGCCTAAACCATGTAGTCCTGTCGTTGACTTTTCGGTGATGTCAGTGTGTTTGGTCATTGCCTTCTCTTAAATATCAGCGCTGTGATCATATGGTAATTGAAGCTTAGGTAAGACAATTATGTTACTTTTCTTGGTAGGCATGATTGAGTGGGACCTAACGTTGGCGAAAATTTAACTTTTGCATGTGCTCTCGTGGGCCATAATTAAGAATAGAGGTTCTAGCTCTGATGAGTTCATACGACATGGGAAAACTAATAATGTTCAAAACTAGCTTAAAAATTGCAATATATAGTTGCGAACATGCTGCAATATAAGCAGCACCAGAAGAACCAGCCAGCCAAAGGCTTGGAATCAACTGTACTTGACACTATACGCATGCGAAATATAGCGAGCTTTGCTGTAACTAGGCCTTGGGTATGAATACCTATTGTGGAAAACAAAACTAGGTATACCATGGAACAACTATAGCTTTATCCTGGTAATGCATTTAGAGTCCACAGCCCGAGACAGAATGCGAAATAAGATGTAGCAGTTGGTATAAACGGTGGCATGGAACTTAAAGATCTTGGCCATTCTGACTTTCCCAGGTAAAGTCGCCGTAGAAGTGAAGTTCATGGAGTCCGAGGCGATGTCGTCCCAGAAACTCGGGTTCGATATCAATTTAACGATGCTCAGATCCATCGAAGTGGCCATGGTGACTTTTGCCCGAGCAGGAATCTTTTTGTGCGTGAGGGGGACCTCAGCCACTGTCGACCCATGGTAGTTAACGTAACCGTTCATGCTAATGTACTCAAAGCTGCCGTAGTTAGGGTTGTGGATCGTCACGAGCATGCTTAACTTGATGTCGGTCGTGTTGAACTGGATGTTCTCGAGGTTGACGGGCTCGAGTGTAATCTGAGGGTCTTTGGGCTTGAAGATCGTGAGCGCTAAGGTCACGATGATGATAGCGAGAATGGCCAAGAGAACCACTGTGGTGAAACAGCATTTTTTGAGACCTCGGCGAACCATTTCAGTTGGTTACTAATCAAAGAACAATGCAGAAGAGATGTGGATTAATGCGGACATCAGTTAGTGTTCATATAAACCAAAAGAAGGGTCATGTCGTTTTGTATTGGACATGGGTTTTGTTTTTGTGCCTGAAAGACACTCGAATAGGAACGACAGCGAGTGCTGCTTCTTTCTCTTTTGTTTTTACTGTTTCTTTCGTGTTATTTGGTATAATAATACCTTCTAATCTCGGCTAAATCAGTTAATCTCTTGAGATTGTAAGGACAAACATTACGAAAAATGAAGAAATTAACATAAGGCAATGTAATTACGGTATCATGTGCGAAAGTATTCTTTCAAGGCCCAAGTACGTGAAGGGAGATGTTTTCAGGGGGCGAATATAATGGGCCAACTTTTGATGGAGCAGATCCATCAGCATACTTCAGCAATGTCCTGCTCACCAAGGAGCAACTTATAATGCTAGGTTTTCCTTACGACGGGCCACAAGATCTATAAGCTAAAAGATAGGATAGAATGCAATTCGACATCCAAAAGAAATAAGTCATGCTCAGCACTTAGTAAGAATATGCCATGTCAATCATATAGCAAGGGAGCACGTAACATCATCGCCTATAATAGTGTCCTTTTGTCCTAACAATGACATCGTGGTGGATATTCGCTAGATATGGTGATTAATAAGGGTCATTTGCGATCAGAGGAATCACCCTCCCCTCCTAGATGAATGTAGGAACTAAATTGACCAAGCTAAGTATCAATATCAATGGTTAAACAATGCGAATGAGGGGTGATAATAAGGATTTAAAGGGAATACATGACGAAATTCAAGTGGAAAGCCCTTCTAATGAAAAGGGGAGTTGTGAAATTAACTCAAAATCTAACGGATCTTGCAATTCTAGTCTAACTCGAGAAGAAGAAAGTACCAGAGAAATCGGTGACGAACAATAAGGAACACCGGGGATTTGCGTGATTTAGATTCAAGTGCCAAAATCTACTTCATGGGAAGAGCCAGTCCTCAAAACGTCCACCATGAATCTTGAATACAGAGTTTACAATAGCTCAAGTATTTCACAATCCTAAATTACATCTAAAGCAAAATTCCAAGTGCTATCTCGCAATCTAACCCTAACACTCCTCTTGTTTGCTTTAAAACCAAATAAAATTCCATCTCTCTCACATATATATTATTTTTATAGTCAAAATAGGAAACCATTTTTAGAAATTACTCAGATTAAGAAAAACTTATTTGGTTCGGATTTTCCTTTACAAGTATTTGTTTCGGATTTTCCTTTACAAGTTCAAACTCGACGCATATTCTTGGGAAAGAAATCACAAGCAATCCAATCCACAAATATAGTCCAAAGTACAAACACGTCCAACCATACCGAGAACGGTGCACCAATTTGCCCCATTAATACTTTGCACGACCATCATCTTGTTCTGCAACGTGGAGGGAACAAGATCAATTCTTGATTTCATGCTGGTGGCGAACCTACTAAATCTTGAGGGATACGTGCCGAGTTGAACCTTAAAAAGCCAAGTTTCGTCATATACTTAAAAAGTCCGATCGTAATCCATCGTTACCGTTACTTTGCACTCTGTTTTTCCTCTGTTTCTGATCTTAACAGGACTCGCGAAGCACACAATCCAAATTCACCTAAATAGACGAGAAGTGAGATGATGGCGTCTGAAAATTACCCAAAAAGTGAATCATCGTTCCATACTAAAAGTTATAGAACCCAACCCAATCTACATGATTCTGCAATTAGAGGAGCCCCCTTTTGATTTTTTTTCTTTCCCCTCCTAATTTAACACCACAATACCCTACAGACGTTTTCCTTCTTCTTCATCAGTAAAGCAACTAGCAAAAGCACATCCAGACTACGCTCAAATAAAGCCAAAATTGCGTCTTCATCAAGTGCCAAAGCACCGCAGAGATGGTCTCTCTCAGTCTTCACTGGTCGAATACCTTGAAGTCCAGTACTTTTCGATTTCCTCCGCGGTTCTCCCGGGGATTCGCCCGGCGATTAGCGACCACCTAGAAACATGTGAACTCGCGTTAAGGGCAGGTCATATCCTGAGCAATGAAACGGCAAAAAGAATTCATCGCAAGAATTGGAAGTGGCAGAAGAACCCAACCCACCTCTCACCAACTAGCTTGAACATTCTAGTTATGAGCGTTTCCTCATCTTCGGAGAATTCCAGCTTAGAATCTTGACTGATATCCTCAGCTGCAGACATTCAACACCGATATCATTATCGCTCCTCAAGACAGAGTCTTCTTGCTTAATGGGAGGAATCTACTAAAGAGAAAGGGGAGAGAATTCAAACTTGAAGAAGGTGTACCTCTAGAGTCCACAGATGAATCATCAGAGGAATGGTCCAAGCGAGACATTTTTCTTCTCCCGAGTGTGCAATTCCGGGACCGAGTGGCAGAGAGGGGTAGAGCAAGTTTTTCAACACTGGGTATGATTGAGTTTGATGAACATACAGACAGAGAGAGTGTGCTGGTGCGGTTGGATGGGTGGGGAGTGAAAGTGAGACTGAAGCCTGGGCGTGTGTGAACCAGAAGGGGATTTAATTAGTATTAATAGGGGAAGGCCAAAAGGAGAGACTCTCAAGAGGGTGGTGGTCCTCATGGATAGAGAGAGAGAGAGAGAGAGAGAGAGAGAAGAATGGGCGGTGAGACAGTGAAAGAGAGGGCTGAGAGGAGGAGGAAGAAGAAGACTGGTAGTTGACAGTGTAGGAGGCTCTTTGGGAGTCCAACTTTGATAGGTAGTTGAACACTCCTTAAACTAGTATTGTTGGTTGGTTCAAAAATTCTACTTCTGGGGACACTTTTGAGTAGTGCCGCTTACACCGTTTGTCCCGTGAAACTCTGATCATGACGTGACCACCCTCCTCTTTTATCACCCTCGCCACCGCAAGATGAGACTCAAGACATATTCAAAGGCCTGATTTGGCGAAACACAAACGCTTGTTCGGACAAGTTCGCCGCCCGGTCGAGGCGATCGCAACGCGATAATCATGGATCGCACGAGGGTCTCGTTTAGATCTATCTAATAAGATGTGATGATGGTGTTTACGACCAAACTGTGGCAGGTTCATCATGAGGCCGATAAGCGATGATTACACAAATCGTCCATTTACTTTGACCAAAGGTGCAATGTGATTTCTGAACTTTTACTTTATTCAATGTAGTTCTTGAATTTTATCCCAATATGTAATGTGATCCTTGGGCTTTTAAGTTGTTCAATGCAGTTCAATATAGTCCCTAGACTTCGTGAAAATATCTAATGTTATTATTCTATTAGTTCAAGTTTATAGATAATATTGAATATTTTCATATAGTTTAGAAAACTAAATTTAATATGTACCAAAAGTTTAAGGACTATATTGAATAAATTAAAAGTTCATGAATCGTATTATACATTCGATCGAAGTTCATGGACCATTTACATCATTTTCCAGATCGATAAAGGTAATGGGGGAGCTAGGGAGCACGAGATGGCTCGGTGGGAGGGCACGGTAGGGGAACGGATCCTGGAGGAGGGAATGTTTGGTGGGTGGGAGGGGTCATGTTCAAGGAGGATTATCCTGGAAATATTGTTTGTTGACAATTATTAAGGAAACGACAAAGGAAGAGACAGACATGCCACGAGATAGATAGATCAGCCTTAGATTATTGGGTCTGTGGGGAGAGGGATTAGCTCGCGTCAGCGTCAATGGCCGTTTTTTACTCACCGATGAGACGCATCGATTTCGGAACTGACAAGGTTGTTTTTCTTTTTCTTTTTTCCTTTTTGACGAGGTGGCTGCTTAGGTGAATTTGAAACAATCAATGGAGATTATCCACTAATTTTTCTTTCTTTTTGGGGGATGAGATCATTGAGCAGTTAAGAAAAAGTAGAGAGAGGAAACTTCTGTGATTATCATCCGATTAGCGACGAAGCCAATCTTAATGGATTATCCATGTGGGAGGAAACTGTCCGTGAAGGTAAAATTCAGAGAATGGCCCGAAAAGGGGAGGTGATTGGTGAGAGGATCCAAGGAAATTTGGGAGTTGCGTATCCTTCACCTTCTTTTAGGGTGTGTTCGTTTCCTAAAAAAATAAGTAAATGGTTACTTATATTGTTTAGAAAAATAAATGAATGAAAAATTTGTTCGTCGCCCATGAAAATAGTTAGGTATAGATTATTATCGATGATGAAAATATTTTATGTTGATTAATTTTTTCTGTGAAACGAACGCACCCATATTGTCTATCTTTTTTTTTCCCTGAATTAGTCCCTTTAAAAAAGAAAATAATGTTGCTAACGTGGACCGTCACATCAATGCCTCATTAGCCCGGATTGGGCTAAAATGCCTCATTAGCCCGAATGAGTATTTTGAAAAAGGGATCCAGAGTGAACTTTGTATTAAATAAGTATTTGAATTGGTCATTTAGTATCAAATAAGGGCATAAACTCGTCACCCAATCAAAATCTTCGCGTGGCTAGGAAGCACATGCTTATTCCAACGGCACAGCCAAGGGCATAATCGTCCAAAGACATTTCTCTCTCTCTCTCTCTCTCTCTCTCTCTCTCTCTCTCTCTCTCTCTTAATCTTTTCACTTTTTTCTCTTCTTCATTCTTCACATACGTTTCTATCTGGATTTGGCCGTCGGCCTACATTCAAGCGTCTTCTTGCTTGGCTCTTCAGATTTGGCAATCCATGACCACCGACACTGAACAAGCTGCCATCGCTCGTGGCTATCTTCCATGGCCGTCAGCCGACATTTCTATCCAAATCTAGTCATCGTCACTCTAGCCCCTTCTACTTCTGCTACTTCCAGCCAAGGTGCTAGGGTAGCGCCGCCGACTCTTTCTTCTTCTTGTTGAAGTCATGCTGCTTGCGATCACTGGACTGGCAATTGAGGGTTTTCTTGTCGAAGTTGTCCCTTTGCTCTTTGAAGGTTATGTGGTGGCGAAATCAAGGTATTAAGAGAGAGGTCAAAGGTGATTTTATCAGAAATTGGCTTCGGTAACAAGTTATATATATATATTATATGGCACACAATCTCTCTGATATATATGCTTTTAAGCGTAGACAGAGACGACAGCTCGTTCGATGTCGGCGCCCATGGAAGATGCTTGAAAGCGAGACAACATGGGTGAAGGAGGAAGATGACACAATCTCTCTGATATTCTAATTATGTGTTTAGCTCTCTTGATTAGAGAGATTGTGTGCATGTCATGTGTTTAACTCCTTCACACACAATTCTATCCATTGTCATCACCATGGAGACCTGCAACTTCCCTCCAATGAAGAAGATAAACCGTGTAAAGATAGGAAAAGAAAAAGAAACAAAAAAAGAAATGTCACTGGACAAAAATGCCTCTGCTCGTACAGCCAAAATAAGCATGTGCTCGTCTGCCGACGAAGATTTGACAAGCTAGAGAGCTTAGATCCTTTTTTGAGACCAAATGGCCATTTCGGACCCTTATTTGAAATTAAATGACCACTTCATGCCCTCATTTGAGACATCGTCTAGGCACTGACGAGATAAATAGAAAAGAATGAGAGGAAGCGACGGTAGCTTTGTCTAGGCACTGATGAGCGTCACCAAGTGCTTGCTGGTCTCCGGTTGACCAAGGTACGCCTACCACACCTCCAATTGAAGCGCGTGCACAATATTCAAAGAGACAAAGTTAGAGAGAGAAGTGGTGATGGCTTGTGGTCACCACTTGGGCCGGCTAAAGTGAGGTGAAGCGACCTTAGCATTGCCTTGCGAGCTCAGGGTTCGACAACCCCAAAGAGGGCTCACCCTACTACCAGATTGAGGCCACTAGGCCCTACAAGTAGTTCTAAGGTTTATGGGGTCGGTGGTAAGGGCGATTGGTTTTCACCCTATAACTTGGAATTGGGAATCGGCCAACCTGATCCTGGAACTGGAGCAACCAATATGGGCCGGTTTTAGGGTTGATCTCGGAATCGATGATTCCTTCTTCTTTTTTTGGTTTCTTCTATTCCCGAGTTTCCAACATTAAAAGAAAAATAATAACATCATTTTTGGTTCATTCGTTAAATAAATTTTCCATAATCTAGGGTGTAACACTAAATGACGACCAACTAGTCATCCACTGGATTTGGTAGTCATTACTCTATTACATGGCATTGCATATGTGTTCGATAATAAAAGAATGTATATATATAAACCTTAATAGTAGCGCCTTTCTTATGGAGAATTAACCTCATATGTTTAAGGGAAGAATATGGAGATCAAATTCCATATAACCACCTTTCTTATGGAGAATTAACCTCCTATGTTTTTAAAATATGAACACAAATATGTACCAATATCCGACTTCAAAAACAAATCAAAAAGGAACAAAAACTCTCTAAAAAAGGATTAGGAGAATTTTGTGCTCAATATGATCCCTCTTTTGAATCCTTTGAAAAAACCAAATCTAAGTGTTCAGGAAATTGCTCACTTAAACAAGATAATAATAAGAAAATTCATAAAAAGAAATTTAAAAAGAAATCTTATGAGAAAAAGGACAAAAGGAAAGAATTTGATAAGCCAAAAAATCCTAAGAAAAATTTCAGTAATATTACATGCTATAATTGCGGAAAGAAGGACACACTTCCAGATATTGCAAAATCAGCAAAAAATTGAATGAACTAGATTTAGATGAAGAAACTCTCAATCAACTTAGCCAAATTATGGTTGAGTCTGATACCAATTCTTTTGATGAATCTGAAAACGGTCTTCAAGTTTATGATATTGAAACCTCTTCATCTTCTACATCAGAAAATGAAAATGAGGAAACTACCAATTTTGAAGTAAATGTTTTAACAAAAGAAGAAGAAATTCTCTTGCAAACCATTGATCAAATCAATGATCCTGAAACAAAAATTAAATATTTAAATAATTTCCAACCATTAAAACCTACTTCTCATTCTGACATTCCTTATAATATTTCCACTATCCTTAGTAAATGAAAGAAAATAGATTCCAAGCCCATTTCTATAAGCGACCTTAACCAAGAGATCAACCAACAAAAGCAAGAAATTCAAAACCTTTAAACTTACTCAAGCCAAAATGCAACAAGAAATTTTGGATATCAAAATTAAAATTTTAAAAGGAAAAGAAAAAGATGAAGATATTGAAGAAACTTGTTCTCCTGATCCAACCTTTTTATTAATGCTTTCTGAAATAACATCTAGAAAATAGATAATAAATATTACTATTAAAATCAACAATGAATTTATTCTAGAAACAACAGCTTTTTTCGATACAGGTGCATATCTCAACTGTATTAAAGAAGGTCTCATACCTACGAAATATTTTCAAAAAACAACTCAATCTCTCAAATCTGCGACTAGCAATAGACTAAATATAAGTTATGAAATTCCAGAAGCTGAAATTGTCAAAGATCAGATTTCTTATAAAACTCTTTTTGTTCTTGTTAAAGGTATCAAACAGAATGTTATTTTGGGAACACCGTTTATAGAACTGATACAACCTTTTAAAGTCACTAATAGAGGAATTGAAACCAAAACTTTAAAAAAAAAATATGCTTTGAATTTATAACAAAACCCCAAACCAGAAATTTAAATATTCTCCAACAACATTCTATTTCTGAAATCAATTGTATTATTCAA